TTGCAACAAAGTGTAATCGAGGCTCAAATTTTAATAGGTTGCGGTGCAGGAGAAACCATCTTTATTCCCAGAATTCCCATAATACCAAATAATTTTCCATTCCAATTTAAAAGAACGCAATTCCCAGTATCGGTGTGTTATGCAATGACAATAAATAAGGCTCAAGGGCAGACCTTTCGTGTTGTTGGAGTAGATCTCGGTGTCAGTTGTTTTTCACATGATCAGTTATGTCGGTCTTTCCCGGGTTAGCAGTCCTAGAATTTTTTATGTTCACGTTCCGGACGGGTCAAATTTCAACGTAGTCTACCCGGAAGCTTTGCGCTGAAGTATTTTCATTCTATATGTACTTAAGACTCATGTGAAAGCGATCTAAACAATATTACCAATACATTAACATAATAACATACAAGGAGTTACACGCTGATGGTCTCGGGGCACAGTGATAATAATAATATTCTGCGGTTCCTTATTGCGATATTTTTAACAGTATTATATTTCCCTACTAAAATACGAAAGTTAATCTGTCTGTCACATCAAAACCACGGAACCCTGAGGAAGGACATATGCTACTTTTTTACGAAAAACGACGATAACGCGGACGAAGTCGCGGGCAAAAGCTAGTATTAATAATAAATTACATATGTACTTATTGCGAACCCGGACAAAATTATTCCATGTTGTTATTAAAACATATTTCACAAAGTCACCTTGACTGTAACTTAACTGAATAAAAAGTGTTTTGGTAACATACAAACTTTTTTATATATTCCGTGTAACAGACTGAGTTGTGCAACATGTGTAATGGCAAAAGTTTGACACGTTCCATGGACATCTTTATAAAAGGCCGATATTTTGGATAAAGCGGTACTGACTTAGATTGTGCTAATAAAAAATGATATACTTTCTGATATTATTCAGAGAGTAAACATCGTGAGGCCGGGGCTCATGGGCACACAAAATTTAGAAAAAGTTAAATTAGCGTTTGTATGAAAATAAATGTATTTTTTTACACAGCTGCCAAAAAGAAAAATACTGATTTCAGATTCTTTTTTAATCGGCAGGTTTAATGAAAGTCCAAATCCATCACGTCTGATATTAAATGTGCGCAGTTGAGAACATAGTACCACGCCATCAGTCAGCCCTTTTTAAAGGAACGATTTTTTTTTATCATTATAGTGATAGCAACCTTTCTAAATGAAGCAGAATCATACACAGAATAGACTAAAGTCTGCAAGGTTTAATATGCTATAAAGAAAACAAAATTTCCCCTACATTAATTACATTTTCACAGTATTGACAATATTTTAATTTTCTTATTTTAAATACTTTTTTTGTTTTCGCGTATATTAAACACTTTCATCACCATCAGCCTATTATTATGACTTCATTGCTCGTGGATTGGGGCACAGACCTTCATTGCGAATGCAATAGGGAGATTCGGCCATGACCTATCACGCGGGCTCTGTGCGGATTGGTGGTTGCAAACACCTGCAGAGCAGATACAGTCGGGACGGGACTACCGCCTTAGCGTGCTTTCCGAAACACGGAGTAGCTCGAGGTAATCCTTTTTCGTCACTTGTTCTCTAAACATATTATGGTCATAGCTAATGTTGCAGAACTTCTGGGATTGAAGACGGAGAGCGCCAAACATAGCGGAATCGAGCACCTCAAATAAAAATGAAAACTAGACAGGCATAGATCGAAAAAGATTCTGCAGGTGTGTGGCAGACCAATGGTTATCCTTTTACGCGAATCTATTTCTTCGACGTCGATGTTAAAGTTAAAAAAATATCTATGTTATATTAAGCTGTAAAAATGTCAGGGCATGCTTTTTCACCACTTATTAATTCTCTCGTGAGTACGCAAAATTTGACACGCCAGGTTTCCATACAATTTGAAGTACACGCGGCGTCTACTTCAATCTGGGTCTGTGGAAAACTACAACTCAGTGAAGTGGAGGTCGATTTTACAGGTTCCTAATGACAAGACTGCCTTGCTTGCATGGAAACATAAGGAAGAAGTATTTTACAAGAATGTGACCTTTTGGCCTCTATGCTAGTTATTATCGGTCGATAATATCGGATGCATTTTGCAATCTCTGTTTTAAGATTATGTATGAGAATGGCTACGAAGTTACACACATATTATAAACCGATAATAGACACACAATTATTGGCACAGTCTGCTTGCCTATACATGTACTAGGTACTTGTTAAAGTAGATCATAAATTTCTAATAAAACTGTAAGATATAGAAATTCAAAGATATTAATAGAGCTGCTTTTTAGATAAATTGTTAGCCTGAACAATTCATAATAAATAATATCGGGTCTTAATATCTTCAATTTTGAAATTTAATGAGAATTCCAACGGATGTGAAGTGTTCGACGAAACGTGTTTTATTATTTTGGTATATTTACAATATTCAGTAAAGTAATATTCGTAGTTACGAGAACTGTTGAATAGCTGTTCTATAGGTACGAATAATACTCGTTTTTATGAATACAATCTTTTGCCTATAGATGTGTTATTAAAGCGGATAAAGGTGCCTACCTAGAAATATTTCTTATGGAGATTTAAATCGTTATATATTTCATCGGAAAATTAAAGGCGAAATATTCATTGTGGCGCTCGCTATGAGCGAATAAACACCCACGTCCAAACTAAAAACTATATATTAAAGCGAAATTAATAATTCCGCTTAGAGAAATTTTCATTTGTCGAGAAGGCACCAATTATTTTAATATATTTGTTGCCGACGCTTCTTTACATTTTTTAACTTTTAAATACGATTGTTTTTGCTATGACTTATTGAAAAAATATTATTATAGAGTACATCATTGCACACGAGTTGAATTTCTATCCGTTCGGTAGAATATGTTTTATGGCATATCAGATTATTAAAATGACCTACCCTCTGGTTGGTGTCCCATCCAAATACGGTTATTTGTTACCCACCTCATCTGCCCCCCTGTCAAGGATCCAGCAAAATTACAATGCCTTAATTCTGTTTTGATCCAGCCTTCGTATATACCGTTCCAATGCTGAGCATTCAAGTCTGACCATGCATCATTAGTTTGTGTAAGTATTATGAAACAAGCGATTCAGACGCGGTGGTACGCAGGTATATTGAATTTCAATTTATTCCATCATCATTAACTTTACTGTACGAGAAGAAATTTATTGTTATAAATAATAAGTTAGTTAGAGTTTGAATCATTGTTGCTCACAATTCATTAGAATGAATTGAATTCGTATTCAATTTTGAACAAAATTTCGAATAATTGAATCAACGTGAGCAGTGAGTTAAGTCATGGCAAGCCTGCACTAATATTTAATTACTGTTTCGCTCTGTTAGACGAAATTTGTCTACAAATTTGTATAATGGGAAGTAAGTGAAATTGTTTTCAACAGACTAATATATATTATTACGTATTATGTGAGTGGAATTCAGTGTTGGTCTCTAGTATTAAATTACGTGTGAATCATGATTCCATTTAACTTTTTAAAAACATTTTTCTTTGTCCAATGTGTTGCCACAGTAAATGAACAGTTGACGGATAACTACAATATATTATGAGTTGTATTACCAACTCAATATTACCGGTACAATATAATTATGAATCCAAAGCAGCAAAATTTTAACTCGCGCGGCGTAATAACTGTCGCAAAGCCAATTCATTATTTAAACACGATTTATTGATGGTGTTTTTATTAGGTCTTGATCACAACAGATCAATTCTTACCAGTCGTAAAAATTATAATAGAGACCAGCCAACGCTTTGTACTGTTAAAGTTGACTTTCGATATCGAAAAGGAGGCGATGGGGAAACCCATATTGTAAAATGCAGTAAATTGCCTCACCGAGAATGAGTGTCGCATCTGCTTCTTGCCGTCTCACATACTATTGAAATTTTCACGCTTTGCATTCCTAAGAGATAAGTATCTCTAAAATTGTAAACCTAGAGCAATCAAAATAAATCAAAATAATAACTTAGTTATTAGCCTAAGCAAAGGACCATCGGAAAAATCAAGGAAATCAATCGACCTTTTCGTGGGTCAATGATATACATTGAGGAATAATTAAGGAAAGGGATTAAAAGTACTTGATATTAATTTCATCGCACGATACTAATAATTTCTATTCAAGATGGAGTGTGATGCTTACACTTCCAAAATATACTCATAATTATTATTGAAGTTGGAGCACATACGTGGTATACTTATGTTTTCTAACATGAGTAAAGAAGGCCCAAGGACAAAGCTTCATAGAGTTGCGCGTACGTGAGTAAGCACTGGTGCCCGCCCGCATAGAGGTATAAAAATAGAGTCGGGGAGATATGTACCATACTACAAGTGGAAGTGTCCGTCTAGTAGAAAGAGAAAGAAGATGAGAGAAGGCTAGCTATCTCTTTCACTTGTGACGCTGCGCAGTCGTGTGATTGGACGGTATTGCTTCGCAGTCGTGTGATTGGTCAGTATTCATCCGTAGATTTTTAATCCAATGCGTATTTGCGATTAGAGAGAGAAAGGATAGCCGTCTCTCATCTTCTTTCTCTTTCTGATAGACGGACACTTTTAGACCCGCCTTCCCCACTCTATTTTTATGCCTCTATGGGTGCCCGTCGCGTACGCAGAGACACATTTCTATTGGCGGCGACAGGCCGCTAGTGCTCTCTCACACGCGCGCACTGCATGAAGTTGCAGCGGTGCCTTCGTTATTCATAGCCGCGTTATTATCTTTCGATAACATCTGATGCGTTATTGCGATATCTGTTTTCAGTACATTATGTATGAAACCAGCTACGAAGTTGCAGAATGCTGCGCTGGTAACGACGCAATAGAAGTATCACGAAATATCGCAAAACATATCCGATATTATCTACCGTAGAAGCGCGCCTATTACCTTGATCATACGTACCGAGCAAACGAGCGAGACAATGCACCCGGCTGAGTACGTGTGATCAAATCATTAGGGAGGCTATACCGTGCGAGACTTACCATGGAGTATTGCAAGTGTGGGTGAGGGTCATGTAGCGAACCCCAAGCTGGTAGTAGCTGCGGAGGACACCAAGCGAGTTGGCTATGGAGTGGCCTCCCTCTATGCCGATCAGCGAAGCGATCTTCCTAGGTCTGGCGCTGTGAGCTTGCAGGATATCTGACGGACAAAAGGAGAATATTTAGTGCAATTTAAGTTTTATGGCCGCTGTGAAGTTAGCGCTGTTCGAGGTGCAGTAAACGCACCAATACTCAGGGAATATGCTTGATAAGTTCTCAATCTCGTATGGTAACGGGGTTATGTGAGACTCCTCCACCCTCGTCCCGTTCATCTAACCTAACCTATACCATCTCCACATGTTTTCCCGCTTGTGATTTAGTTTTATACTCTTATCCTTCCGTCTTTCTTTGTTCTGTCTCTCTACTGTCTCACTACTCTTTCTTTTCTATAATCCAACCTATATTACCCACGCACTGAAAAAAGTTCTGAGTTACTCATAGTAAATAAAAATAGTGATTACATAACTATAGTTACCAGTAGACAAACTGGGTTTTGTTAAAATAGTTTTGTTGTTATAACAAATCAGTTCCCTTCGGCCGCCCACGAAACCGTACTTTAGTAACTAGTTTCGATGAAGGTATTATTCTATGAAAAAAATTTTGTACGTTACTGCGGTTCCGTACAAAGAGGAGAATTTTTGTAATTTTTCAAAGGGGCACGAGTAAAAGACGTGCATAAAAGTGGGATTAAAAATTACATAAAAATAGAAGTCTATAAATGAATTAAAATAAAATATCTGAAGCCACTGTCTAGAAATCATATGCTATACATTTTTGTTTTTGAACTAATTACATTGAAGAAAATTTTACTTTAAAAAAAATCCATCTTTATTAGCGGTTTCAAAGTATGAGTTTTAGATAAATATACATTATACATATTACGACCTCAAGGTTTTAAGGTGTCGCCTCAGAGGACCGAATCTAAATGCTAGCATTTGCCCCATTAGGAGTCGGTCCTCTGAGTCCTCTGAGGCTATCGGGAAACCTTAAAAATTGAATCGCACAATATAGTAATTAATATAACTTTATTGCAGTTGGAGCATCAGAATACACTTATAATACATTAATTTATTATTTACATAATAAAATTTAATCAAGTTTGAACTACGCTAATGAATGGAATAAAGAAATTTAAACTATTATTCAGATGTCTGAGAGAACGTGATTCATTCTTGAATTGAAAATAAACCTTTGCTATTTATTGCTTTTTAAATCTTATGACCTTAGGTTTGAAAGTTACGAATGTTATAACTCTTTTATTACCTTTTCGTATTGTGTTCGATAAGGCTTAGGCCACATAGGTGCCTATAATGAAGACAAGCTAAGCCATGCCAGTCATCGACCCATGCTTGCCGTGTATGATAAAATGCGCTTGTTCACTGTAATTGTCAATAAATACTGCACATAGAGAAGACATTTTTGTTTTGTTTGATTAAATAGTGAAGACGTCTTTCAATAAGATAGCAATAAAATAAAAAAACGTTCCACTTTCACAAATATTCAATTAATATCTCTGAGTGAGTATCCTATTTTGTCTCGGCCATAAGTTTTATAATCGTATACAAAGATTAAGCTCGTAATACGCAACGCAATGTTACATAACTTAATGACATTTTTAATGTGGTGAACGGAGAAAAATCATTAAATCAAAACTTAATACCAGCTTACACCCAGTTTATGAATAAGCCGTGTAGCGAGTTAAGTTTTGTTTGATATTAAAACAAGGCTTTGCGTAGTGTGACCTTAGCCTAATAGAATACGAGACTTTAAGTTATCAAACTTTAATTGGTCTATATTGGGTCGCCTGCCGAAGAATGGAGTTTCCAAGTTTTCGATGCTGCCTTTTGTTCGTGATTTTACGAGTATATGCCAGTGAGTTAGGTTCTAGGTACTCTGTTTAAATATTAATGAATTCTGCTACGATTAGTTAAGTGAATGAATCATTGCTGAATGATTTTTGAAGTGAAAACTTCTTTAGCGGCGTTGTACACTTTTTTGTAATGGGTAAAAAATGTTAATCTCGCGCCAGGACACGTGGCCTGATCGCGTCAGGACACGTGATCTAATCGAAAATTCGTAAGACGAAAACAATAAAATTTGTAAGGTTGTTGACTCAATATATTGGACGAAACATAGTAATATTTTATTTTATCGTATTATAATAATAAGTCTCTATCTAGGACGTCCAGGTGGTAGCTTTATTGCGAAGAAAATGCATTTTTTTACAATCGATGTCGCTAGGTGCGCTTAAATGTGATTCATGTAAGTTGATTTTTCTGAGAGATAAACTTTTTAATGTAATATAAGTTGTCATGTTTGTGTACGATAGCGCAATAAATAAATATTGTTTTCTACCACCACATAAATGATAGTACTTTTATACTGATAATTAAAGCAATTCGTGCAAAATTATTCCCTAACCATTCCAAAATATCACAAATGCACAACGTTAATATTCAAGTTTTTACTTCTGCTGGCACTCCCGGAGTGCAACCCGTCGTCTTTTTTATATGTTGATTCGTAGTTCAAAATCTGTTTTCTTTTGCTTTTTAGAAGTTTCATTGAATTACTAACTCCGCGTGATCTCAACTATACTTAGCAAGCTGAAAGTTTTGTTAAATTTGTTTGTTTGTTTGGTTGGTTAAACGAGCTAATCTCAGATCTACTCCTTCGATTTTAAAATATTTTTTTGTGTTTGTTAGTTAATTTATCGAAGAAGGCTATAGACTATATAAAATCACATTACAACCAATAAGAGCGGAACGACAATGAAAAACGTTGCAAATACGGGAAATAAATATTCCTTTTCAGAGCTTTCGTTACCGACGCAGCATAAATGGTAAAAGTTACGCAAAAATCATGTATAGGAATTTTTCCTCTTCAAAGGTTCTAAAATAAAGTCCGCATGTATCTATCTAAGGTTGACTCACTATAATTTTTTAATGATAATGAAATTCGTCCTAAAATAATGTATTATATACAACTTCGTACTATATACGAAGGTGTTTTTCTAGACATGATAGATTACAGGAAAACCTTTAAGAAGTTTATATGCCTAGCTGTATGCCTGGCTTTGGTTCCTTACACGTCCAATAAAAACTGGTACTCTCTATAAACGTAGTTAGTGAGTAGGTTCGTCTCAGTTTATAGTGGACTTTTCTATCTCTACGTAATTTTACTCTATAAAGCTGAAACTACTCGTCTGATATAACCCTTCGTGCGCGTCCGACTCTCTCTCTCTCTCTCTATATATATATATGTGTATATGAGTGTGTGTGTGCGTGTGTGGGGTGCGTGCGCAGCTCTATATATGTATACATATATATGAGTGATGCGTGCGCTGCTCTTTTTCCCTATTATTTATGCACCGTCTAATGTTAAGTTATTTAAGAAAAGAAGCTTCACTTCTCAGATGTGTGTTCCGTGTACACAATTTTTTTATTTTATTTTTTAAGTTTGTTAGTCGATGGTCAAACACGAATATAAAAGCTTCATTGAAACTAAACTATTGACGTGAATGCTGTAAAAATCTTGGTCATTTAAGATAATGGAACATTCTTTTTGGTTTTATTGAATCATTTTAGAATGTAATTGGAACAATAATGAAAAATTACCAACCCTCCTCGATGAGTACCATGAACTTACTGAATTAATGACGAAGCATCACAACTCGATGAAAATTGTTAATGAATATTTTATAAGTTGAAATTATAATATTTCCCCTAGTCGTTATAAGGACTTCCCTCTGCGGAAAAGTTTGTACTTTGTGAATGAATAGAATTAAGTGTTAGCTTAAGATTGTATCGTTTATTTCAAATACAGAAGCGTTTTCAGCGTTTACGAGTATCTTATTATGTGTTACTGTTAATATTTAGGATTTCGCGAATGGGTGAATTTTCGATACACATTAAAGTCATCAGTCATACGGAGTTTCTTTGGTAAAATTTGACTTAGGAATTAAACTTTTATTGCTAAACATAGCATTAGTTATTATTAAGATTGTTATAGATTAACTTAACCTTTTAATGGTTATCAACATATTCAATTCCAGTATATATAGTCTGATTTTAATTTATTAACTAAATTACTTATCTGCATATATAAATATTTATAGTGCTGAATTAAACCGGCACATCCCGATTTAGGTAAGTATTTTGGAAATACGCCAACAAATATACTTACTGAATAACTCATGTTTGAGTGTATAGGACACCCAATTAATAATAAATTATTGACGACTCGTGAAATATAATAATATTCATAATAATATAATAGTAATTAATATTAGCAACTTTACTACCGATTTCACTAAAGTAATTTTTTGGTTAGCTAAGGAAATTTTATAAAATGGGACCGTATAAGAGCTTCGTAAAGCGATACAGAAACTAGCTCCTTTGTTGTTAGTTTTATAAAATAACTGAGGAGTTTAATAAGGCATTGTGTCTTTACAAATAAGTGAATGTCTACTGGCTCTGCTTAAAATTGGGTTTCATACAAACCTTTATTCCCTTTGAATTTTATTTCCATAGTAACGACGACAGCTTGTTTTATATCACAAAAGATAATTCTTTATTTCACAGACAATATATTGCAGACTTGAATTGAGAAAAGTAGGTTCTGATTTTAGATCACCTATTTTATCTCTCGCGTCAAGTATCATTTAATTGGTTTGAGTGTTTTGCCATGTTTCTAAATGGATACCTGTCGTTTCACATTTTTCTTCATATATTTCAATCTAAATTTGTTAACAGCTAATCGTTATTCTATATAAAATTGCTCTCACTGCTCACTCTATGCTAACATTCCTTTAAATGCTATTTAAAGTTTTAATGGATTAATTTTTTTTATCGATAACGATTGTTATCGCTAAACTTTCGATAGAATTCTTTTCTCTCGGTTCACAGAATCGCTAACTCGGTATATTAGAATGCGGGACCCATCTGACTAAACTAATTTGTAAGTTTGCAACTGGATAGCTACGGATATTTTCGGAATTCACTTCTGTTTTGCTTCCTCTGTTTTCTTATAAAATTTTCTTTTGTTACTATACGCTACGTAAGAATGCCGTTGGCTAAATAAAAATTATATTGTGTTGTAATACTGTTTCTTTTTTCATATATGTACTAGCGGCTGCCCGCAACTTCGTACGCGAGGAGTAAGTTAGAAATAAAGGGTCACTGCTCGTTCCCCGTAGGTGATAGTACGAAAATATGTAGCCTATATGTCGACCCGACTCCTTAATAATATTCGTGCCAAATTTGAAGTAAATCCATGCAGTACTTTTTGAATTTATCCCGGACATACACACAGACAAACAAACAAAAATTCCAAAAACTAAATTTTTGGCTTCGGTACCGGTTGAAGATCACACCCTGAGTATCTTTAAAAAAATATTCAATGTACAGTTTTGAGTTTCCTACCATTTTTATTATATATATATATTTAATCGCAGTAATTTACAAATTCCTGTTGTGACGGCAGGTAAGTATGCCTCTCCAGCATTCCTTACCCGTGAAACACTAGAATGTTCTGTAGAAACATAACATCACCAAAATGCTATTTTACAGTGGTCTACCTAACCTCTAACGGTCGTAAAACGTCCTCCAACGTAAAACGTATTCAATCTCATTCGTGTTCGCGTTTGCGATATGTCGCTTGAGTAGGTGCTTCAGATAATGCAAATAAAAGTAGCAATAAGTTGATACCTATTAAAAAATTAGACAACTTTATGACCTAGACAATACTGTTCTTTTTTTTTGCTAAAGACACATATCTCACCAAAGTAAACTTAGTAGCTAGATTTCATAAAAAAATATTTAAATATACTTTTAGTTAAATACTTATTAGGTTGCTGAGATACTAGTATAATTTGCTACACAGACTGGTATGAGTTTATTTATATTTACCATGAATTATTTATCGTCCAAAAGTTTGTATTCTTCGCATTTTGGAACCCAATGATTTATTCGCAGAAGTTTCACCCCGTAGCATGCTCACATTGCTCACTCAAAATAACTTTGGGTGGATCTCGTATACGCAGTAGGTATTACCGAGTTTGTTATCTAAATTTGGATTTTCGAGTTACCAAAGGGCTTGTACGGAATATTGCAGGGACGGACACCTACCACATGGAACGTTGAAAGGATTTCTGCATAAATTTGATCGTATATTCTACATGTAATACGTAGCATGTAGATATCTACCTATATCTATATCTACTATTCATATAATATTTACTTCGCTACCTTAATAAGGAATATTGCTTCTGAATTTATAATGATGATGTATTTAAGACATCATACAAAGGTATATACGTAAATGTACTTTAATATAGGTATTAAAAATTTAAAACAACGATAACTTTTGTTTTTATTTTTCTCACAGAAAATCCTGCTTTACGCTGCTGCGTGTGTTAGGAAAAAAGTCGGAAGCACTTTTACCGCCGCGTAGCAGTTTTGTAAGTGTGTGGATTGTAGGTTTCAATTGCTTTGCGCGGACTCTAACGGTTCTTCAGGAGCGTGTTGGCTACATTTAGGAAAAGTGATAATGATTCTTCTTTAGCAGACATAGGAATTCTAGCTTTACGTGTATGTTTTTATGTAGTATATTGGGTAACGGAAACTTAGTGTGTTGTTATTTAGATATAATAAATATCGCCTGTTCCGTTTTCGGCAATTATAGTTCCGTTTATCCCTTATGAGGTGCTATGATTAGAAAATATGACCTTTACAATACCACAAAACAATTATATTTACCCTTTGAATAAACCATTTAAATTATACGTTCATCGATATAATTTATTAAGCGTCCCAATAATTAACTACTTCAGCTGTGTGACCGAGGTGGTGGTCGTCTAATCAAAATATTTATGATTTCTGATAAACAGTTATATATGACATACCACAGTTCCCTACCCTCAACAACGATTACTTTGGTAGAATGTATATTATAGTTATTTATATTTGGCGATTGTATGTTTTTATGGCTTCCTTCCTCTATTAAATCCAGTAGAAGGTTCTGATTTATCGAGAATTGGCTCTACGCGGTTCAACAACTTCAGCTCTTCAAAACATGCATGGAAAGAAGAAATATTTGCAGAATGTAAGGCTTCGTTGTTACCGAGATATTTCATATTTTTTTTCTATTTTGTATGTTCTGTAGATGCAACAAATCTAGATTTATGATCTAGGTATGTCTCTGATGGGTTAAATATATATAGCTATATTTATATCGTCATCAGCTTATTAAAGCCTCCCGCCTATAGGCGTGTTATTATCGGTCGATAATATCGGATGCGTTATCGCGATATTTCGTCGTACTTCTATTGCGTCGTAATTATCGCAGCAGTGTGTAACTTCGTAGCCATCCTTTAACATAATGTACTGTACCCTTAGTACGAGTTTGAGCAGCAAACTATCATAGTTTTCGTAATTGTAAATTATGTTTCTATGTACATTTTGGTGAAAAGTAACCAAATAAACTTAAAATTAAGAAGACGAAAATGATTTAATGTTAGAATTTAAACACTGTTTATTTGTATTGAAACGAAAACAATAAAATCAGTACCCTTAGTACGAGCGCGAGCTCACGAAAACTATCATAGTTTTCGTAATTGTAAAACTCGTACTAAGGGTACTGAAAACAGATATCGCAATAAATAACGTATACGATATTATCGATAATAACGTGCCTATACTATGAGGGGGACGAATTAACCATTATTCGTTTGATGCCGTCACTTATATTGCGAGAACATATTTTAAAAAAGCATTGAAAAAGGTGTATCTGATCTAAATTTGGATTAGTCTTTCAGTTTGGAGGATTTTGATTTTGTAAAAACCAAGAATAAATGTAGGAAATCAATAATTACGGTATGTGCCTTGCGTACTTGAAAGAAATAATATAAAGCTGATAGTGAATGATGTGAGACAAGGTATAAAGGTAAGGTCTCACCGGTGACAGAGGTAGCGAACTGCAGATGGTGTGGGTACTTGTCGACGAGGCGCCGGATGACGTCAATCTGCTCAAGAGTCAGCTGGACAGCGTCCTTATTTTGAGTGGCGCACGGGACGAAGGCTGACCAGAACTGTGGACAATAATGGAATAATAATATCAATAAGAGGAGCTCAATGGCGCAGGCGGTTTATACTGCCGTCCTCGAGCTAAAACGCGGCTTAATAACAAAACCGTGTTTCGTAAGCGTGTAAAATTTAAATTATTGCTATTTTGCAACCGTTCATCATAATATGACAGATTTTTAGACATATACTAAAAATGATATGAATATTTGTCTTATAAATAATAGAGAATTAAAAACTGTACAAGGTGCAATTTAAGACTAAAAAATCGACCACATGTCACTTAGCCGCACTTTAGTTTGAGCACGGCAGTATAGCGCGTTGGGTCTTCACTCGTACAAGCCGATTCTCTTTAAGACAGATTCTTGATAAGACAAATATTGTACAGTTATCTAAAGAAACATTATTTGGAATGTAATTGTAGTAACTTTCATGATTAGATTACGCATATACAGTTTAATCAACAATGTTGCTTTTAAAAACGACGGAAAATGCGTAGGTAACCCAGTAGGCTTAAGGTACTGTCCTCTTTATTATTATTGGATGATTTATCATTTACAACATTTCTTAAAATTGCTAATAGAGTGGGCTTATTTTGCCTAAAGAGTTCTGAAAGGAAATACACGGCAAATGAGAGGAATAAAAAATAGACCTGTCCGAAAACTTCACAGGTTCTAGTGAAGCACTTCATATTAAAGCTTTGATCATAGATGTTAAGCTTTGATATCAATATATAACTCTTTAGAGAGAAAATTTAATTTATATATCACATCAGTTGGGTATAAAAACGTAGGAATGCGACTGCTACAGAAAATTAAATCTAACAACGTTTGATCTTATCTTCCGTATGCAAAGATTTTATAAAACACTTATGAATCCTCTTCATACGCCGATTTAAATTTTGACTAGCTAAGATTTAAAAATATTTATCGGGTGAGTTCATAGTAAATGTTATGAGGAAAAGGACGATAGCAAGAAAAAGTCAGGTCGCTAATGGTAATGGTTCAACTGTTATCAAAAATATTAAACTTCAACATAATATATACCTACAAAAGCTTTTTTAAACAGAAACTTACAATATTGGTAAGTACAGAATCATTTGATAAATAACTAAATTTACTTCTGCTTGTTATTGAATATGCTATTTGATACAGCCAGGGGCATAATCAAAATTGAAAAACCACGGATAAAAAAATATATAATTATAACCTACATCAAGACATAAACCTAACTTATTTATTTTTTTATAAAATTTGTGTAGGTTTACAAAGTGTCAGTGGAACACCTCATTAATAAAACGATAATTACGGTACGGGCATATTGGGTTACCGTTTAATAGGAAACGGGTGGCGCCCTAGAAAGGGGTAGGATACAGACAGATTACATCCTCAGATTATCGACACTTACTAAATCTAAAATACACCAAACTCTTAGTATAAATAAATCAAAAAGTCTGTTTCATGTCCGAGACACAGTAGCATTAAAAACATTTTTCTTTTTGATATTTATGAAATATACGTCCATGTTTATGAAACTTGTCTATTTCTGAGGCTGAATGCTGGCTGCATGTGCCCGGATGGCATTCCGATGGCAATCATTATAATATAATATATTATGTCATATTATGTCATGTTGTTAACGTCATTTATTGAAGTGGAGAGTGGAGTAAATAGCATCGTTATGATTTTAAAGTATTATTTATAAAAAAGAAAATCTTATGAATACTCATTCCCCATTTACTGGATAAAAAGTGCTTGATTCATGATATATGTAGAATGGCCTTCGAAAAACCTGTCGTTGTCATTGACAATGGGAGTTTTGATATCAAAGCTGGATTTTCTTGTGATAACCACCCAGTTTCCATGTTCAGAACTGTAGTGGGTAGACCTAATCATTTAAACGGCAGCTACGGTCGAGAATGTTATAATGTTTACATAGGTTCGTTCAATAGATAATATTTTATTGCAGACTGTACAGACACCAATACAGTTTAGTCTTTGATTATATACACGCATCTATAGCGCATAAACAGCATGGAAGCGCCTCAAATATATCTACTTCATATGGTCGATATGCTCGTCGCTACATACGCACCTATTGACTTCAAACAATCTGACATTAGAGTCACGCAGACATTGCGCGTTACGTGAGCTCTTTTTCTATGTGTGGTTTATTTGGATTGCTCTATCTAGGCGTTTATATATAATCAAAGAGTTTAGTATAGTCAATATCAAAGCAAGCAAGTCAAGACCCGTTATTAATTGTCATAAACCTTATTTAAGGTGACGAAGCTGCGACAAAAATTGTAGATTTAGAACTCAACCGGCCCGTAATAAACGGAAGGATAGTCCAGTGGGACAACATGGAAAGAATCTGGCACTACATCTTCTATAGAGAGTTGAAGGTGGCACCGGAAGATAGGTCTTTGATGCTGGCCTGTTCTCCAACCACACCGATAGAAGAAAAGTGAGTAAAGATTTTTATGTATATTAGATTGACTATGTATTGATATGAAAGTAAAATAAATTTATAAAATAGATAGTGGCGACAGTAAAAGTTCATTATCATGAAAATGATGCAATCAAATCATAACTTTAACCAGTAGTAGTAGTAGTAGTAGTAGTAAAAATAAAATGGTATTATACAAATATCAATATAAACATAAAAATTATTTTGTAGCTGCAGGGTACAGTCAGATTCATAAAAATGAGGTAATAAAATACGTGGTCATATACATGTTAGTAGCAAAGGTTCAATTCTATAATAACATTAATTTATATTTACAGTTTACTTTTTTAATATTGTACTCGATCAACCTATCACATATTTGTTCAGCTCAAAAATATCTGAATACGTCATAAGCTGCGTGACTTGGTCATTGGTACCTAAGCGGCTAAAGTAGTCATAAATATCTTCGCTTACATTATTCAATTTCTAGTTACATAGGAGAAAGATGGGGTGAGACAGTATCCCCGGATCGAAATTAATTAAAAATTAGGTGTATTTCCGTCTCTTATTCAGTTATTTTAATATTTAAATAGATAGTTTTGATAAATAAATCGAGCAGTAAAATGCACACAATAAAAATATTATAAATTTAAATAGAATATTTGCAGACACAACTGTTCCATTTATCCATACCAACCTGTCCATACTGGTATGGAAGACAGCAATATTTTTCCACTTATCCATACTAGTATCAGAGTTAATATATCATGTTAAGAAAAATTATCAATATAATAACATTTGAATATGAAACTGAAAATAAGGTCTCTTAACATTTTTGTTTTTTTTTTTCAGTAGCCTAGCTATAAGTATTTTTAATTATAAGAAACAATTAGGCACTGCCACTAAATTTCAAAGCATTTTTTCAGTCAATTTACTTGATATCCAAGGGCATAATGAATAAACTAAAATGGACCAACACACCCTCTGGAATTTACGAACGCTAAATTTAGCGCATTTGGTACCAAAGCCACCCGAAGCTTCTTCGCACAGGTGTGGGAGAAGCTTAATGAGATACATAGATAGGAGATACATAAAATTAAATAAATATTGCCCCCTCTCCTTGCCTGCCTCTCCCGGCCTCTTGCTCTGCCCCCTTAGAATGAGCACCGCAATTTGGTATAAATCACGTTTTGACGACGCACAATTGTCAAAGTACTATGGAGTTTGACAGATGCGATAAAAACGTGTTAAATTTGTATCGTAATGTTTGTTCATGTTACGGGGACTGGACGGTTACAAAATTATCTTACTAGACATGGGCGTTTTTGGTTTTGAACGCAAACGGATATTTATCGGATTTCAGATTTCAAAATCGATTTCGAAATCCGTTTTTAGATATCCGATTTCAGATGTGCCTAACTTAGCCAATTCACTAGTTTGTGTTTAGATTATTTTTTTTGATATTGGTTTTATTAGCTAACGACAATCACAAACAATTAATTGACGATATTTTGAAAACCAACACAAAACTCGTCTAATCAATTAAAAAGACAACAGTTAAAAAAAAATCCAAATTAAAACTATCAATTTAAATAATGTGTAGGTACCCAATTTACTAAGTTGACTTATTATTTTTATCTTTATGAACTCTACTTAACTCCAATCCAGTCATAACATACATGTAATTAATAATTATCTAAAACCGGCAAACAAAAATCACTGACTGACACGCGCGCACTTGCATATCAAGGTTAAATTTGCGCCTAAACGAAAGCACCAAGTTTTTGTAGTAAACAATCGCACACTAAGCTATAAGCCAAAATACATCACCTCACAGCCTAGTCACGCAAATATAGTCTTTAAGTACTGTGTCGTAAGACTAAATTGATCGCACATATTCAATGGCAATAGATTTCCGTAAACAACAAACCGAAATCGGACTTCCGAAATTCGCGTCATCTACTCCGCTTTGTTACGATTGATAAGAAAGAGACAAAGCGAATTTTACTGACTCTCGAAATTGTGAACAAATTCGCTTTCTCTCTTTCTAACCAATCGCTACATAGCGGAGTAAAAAAGATGGCACGAATTTCGAATCCGATTTACATTTAGATACGTGTGGTGGTATTAGATCGCTAGATCGATCGTTTTGGTTCGGTTAGATTTCTGAAATCGGATTTTCTTGTTGAGAAATCGTTTGGTATCGATTTGTGTTTGAAATCCGATTTTGGATTCGTTTTGATATATCGGACGCATGCCTATATCTTACGACGTGTCTAAAATTTAATATATGGACCTAAGATTTTTGCTATATTTAATAATTATTTATTCTGTCGAAAAAGGAATCTAACGAATGTGTCCTAAATCTTTAATACTTTCGCCACATTTTTCTTGACTCTAAAGTGGTTTCTTCGAACTTATATCATTTTTTATAGCTTATATAACAGTGATTATTTTAAAGATTATCCTATGTTCTTGAGTACCAAAAAAATAACATAACAAAGTCTTAAACAAATGCAGTTATTAATAATTAACATAAGAACTGCACCTCTATAATACGGAATATGCATTTATTTCAAATAAGCCTAATTTTATTTTTATATAATCTCTATTACTTTTAAGTTATTCCTCAATCAATATTTGTTAAAAAAAAACTTTCCGAGCAATAAATTAATGATATTAAAGTACGGGAAACTTGTGGGATTTTTTTTATGATTCTATACATTTTTTTTGTCTTTGATTTTATGATGTATAAAGGAGATGTAAATTACTTAATAAAATTACAAAAAAATCATGCATATTTCGTATTATTGTAGCGTTCTCAAAAAAAAAATCATTATTTTCGATATTATAAATAAAGTGTTAACGACTGTACCTACATGAATTAGACAGTTTTATTTCCAACATTCTAAAACAAAGACATTTAGAAAATCAGTCATTTTGGAAAAAGATGATTTTGGTATTTGTTTATTATGAGATCAGTACATTAAAGCATTTGGTCTTAACAGACCGGAGGCCATGAAACAAGCAATAGCAGGATCACTTTACGAGTCAATGCGCGATATTAGGGTTTCAACTAAACGAGCCTCTTAGGAGTCATGAGGAGGTCTAAAGAAACATTACTTTGAAATCTTCAGTCGAGTATAATTAAGGAAGTTGCCCCTGTAATGTTGGAAGTTCATGTCCCAAAAACGCCAGTTTTAATAATATCATTTCGCCAACAACTTAGCAAAACCACAAGTTATAGAAAAATACGTATGGCGTGCTACATTCCTCCCTTGTATCTGTATATCGAAGAGAAATTTACTACGAAGTCCAAGTTTCGTTAGGAAATAGATTGTGTTTGTGAGGGCGTCAATCAATTCGATTGACACTCTGTAAGAAACTTTTGGCTTGCTTTTATTCGGTCAACATTTGCGATCGTGGACTCTTTATTAAATGATGGTGTTTAGCTGACCTAAGTATTTAGTTTGTGTGCCATTTGCTGATTCTTCAAACTTACAATTATTTTGCAAATTAAATTTATATAAATATATTTTTAGTAACCAAAATGTTACTTGAAATAGGTGTTAAACGGGTATCCTTTCAGTAGCATCAGAAATAGCATCGTCAGAAAAAGTTATATATCTGACGAAGCATCCTGAAAGTATGCGAACGTCAAAATTACTGTTAAAGTATTAAAAAACGTGTTTAAAACCGTTTAAAACCTGTTCCATTTAACCAAAATGTTATCTAAATTCTTTAAGGCTCTGCGCAATCGCGGTTACTTTAGTGACTTGGGTCATATATAAGATATCATTAAATCTATATAACCAGTATGAAATCGACAACTCCCTGCGCACTTCACGTATACTCTTTGAGGATCACAAAGTGTTCGGTGTCAGTAACTGGACACTTAAAGTCATCAGTTGAAGACACAAGCAATTTTAACAAATTTCCAACAATTGTATTGAGCTGCGCAAATGGACGATTTGCAATCGGCGTCTGTATCTTATGTGCGACTCAAGCCACGTGCACCGAGTGGTTGGCGCAGGGAGGCATATTTGCCTGTAAGTATTGACGGCGACGCTTCTACGTTGCGGATCAGCAACACAACCAGTAAAGATAATGTTGATTCATCGACGTCCATCATGAAACTGACGGAAAACAAGCAACGAATTGTACCAGTGAGAATTGTACCGTGAAGTAGCGTCCGGTGCCTGTGTCCGATCCCCGCCATCGGACACAACAACTACGGTTACCAGTAATCAGGAGTAGCAGCCGGCGAATGTGTCCGATTGCCGCTACAGGACACAGCAACTACGGTTTCCTGTGATGGTTTGCCATTTCGGTAACAAAAAGTCTCTACGTTTGCGCCTACCCTAAGGGAGTAGAGAGTCCGAGTCCTAATCGCGTGGAAAGTTGTAGCAATGTTGCGAATCGATTTAACAGGAATTCCAAGCCGGCGCGAAACAATTTGAAGAAAAAACGGCGTCCAAATATTTTTGCCGAGGAAGGTGAAAGATTTATTTTAACCTTTAGGAGTGATGAATACTCGTTTTCGTCACATAATTGTTATAAGCTTTACACAGAAATTAACACTTTTATTATATGCTTGCTGTAAAATTACTACATATATAGCCTAGATGTATTACTTATACATCAGAGTCTCCGTCAAATCCGGTAGTTCTAAATTTTTGCCGACTTGTTTGTTTATGAGAGGTAGTGCATAGCGGATTTCCCGCTCGAATTGGAGTGCCCGTCTGGGGAAGTAACCTCCACCTTACCTTAGACAGTAAACAGAACAGTAAAACAACACTATATTTTGGTGGTGCTGTGTTTCTGTCGGTGAGTAAGGTTCCAGGGCTCCACGGGGTAGGGGATTGGTTTAGAGTAGGCAACGGCGTGAGCGATATACTTATACCGCTTTTGTGGCCGCTTACCAGCAGAAGGGTCAAACGCCAAATTTGCCACCTTTTAAAATATTAAAAAAAAAATGGCTCAATGAATAATCCAATATTGTAACCTTGAACACCGAACGCAAATATGTCAAAAATCTAAATAAAAAAGTTTTGCAGATTTTGCCGATTATTACCCTAAAGGACTACTTTTTGATATCTCTTTAAGATGTTTTTAAAGTAACCAAAATTTTCTATAATGTGTTACTGGAATTGTCTCTGTAGACCCAATAGTTTTCAAAATAAATCCTTTCAAAGTTTAGTCCAGTAAATGTATACATCAGAGCTTCCGTCAAAACTAGCCCGTACTTTCAGACGACAAATTGCAAGAGGAATATAAAAATCAGGATATTTTTGTTATGTAAATATAGCATTTTGGAATATGGGAGCAATCCTTGCATCTTGGGAAGTACTTCCAGCATATTAAGGTACGCTAGGAGTACTTAGACTGCCCTTTAGATAGTGTCGAACGTCTAGGGCAGCCGATCAGATTAGTAAAATAAAAAAAAATGATCATTGAATAAACTCGAGCACGTCAGATTCAAGTACTGTAAGTTAATTATATGCAGGATTGTGTGCATTTCAATAATATCTGACAATATGAGTGTGACTTATAGAAATCGGAGAGTTACAAAGTTGCAAAGAAAGTCAACTGGAAATACTCAAGCGCGGCTACTTTTTTTATTTTGACGGAAATTAGCAACGAGTCACGGAAATAACATAATCTGCTGATTTACACAAGCCGAAGCTAAAATCATGATTAGACTGTGGTGTACGCAGTCACTGAGAACTATGTATAAATATTAAGTCTATGAGGATGTCGTCATTACACCTGATATTCTAAGGAATACTCGAGATTTAGGTATGATTTTTGAATATAACTTCTATAATATCATGAAAAACAAAAAATAAGTATCACAACCATTGTTTGTTGCAGATACTCAAGACTCAATGAAAACGACCAAGTCGAACCGGAGTTCAAATATGAAGATGATTCCACTGACCATAAGGATTGAAAATATGCATAAAAAATGGTTGCCTGTAAAGTCGGTTTTACGGGCGAAGATTTTACGTGACAACGTCTTTTTCTCGGTAGAATATTTATTGATATGAATATAATTAAATTGCACAATAGGAACAAGGAATTGAATGAAAATAAGAATTGCACAAATTTTAACTATAGAAATATATTTTGTTTACTAAAACATTGTACATGTAAACTTAAACTTAACACGAGAGACTCATCGTAACGTTACCGAGCGTTACACTTTTTCATAAGTGACTCCCAGCCGCAACCTAATTTAAGACGTTGTCACGTCAAAAATTACATAATACTATTTTTTATTAAATACAGGATATAATTTTACCTGTATACAAATGTTTTATATTGTATTAATTATATTAAAGAAAAAGAAAATTCAAACCGTCAGATTAAGGAAATTCTGTCACATAATTGTCAGATAATAATTGGTCAGTACGGACGGACTAAATCTGAAGCGCTTGTCGATTGTCATGGAAATCATTCAACATCACGATTTTTTTGCATTTTCAAAAAACGGCCTTAACTGAACTTGAACGGCTACTGGAGGGTTCACGACACATACCTTATTAACAGCTGACGCTTATTTTTTTTTTTATTTCTTTTTTCTACCGCTTCATCCAGCCACCCCCACCATTCCTTTATTAAAGACTCGTTGGGCGATTATTAGTTTTTGATTATTAGTACATTATCGTTTCTTCTTTTAAGCACCTAATCTTCACAATCCAATAGGTCCCAACGACGCTCGAGTAAATCCTTATTCAGCATCGTGGGCTCACCTACCATAATACTTCTGTGCAGTGTATTTTAATAAGTAGACATTTGTTTCAGATTAAAATGCTGTGAAGTAATTTTCGAAACCCTGAACATACCAGCTTTATGCATTCAGCATCAGGCTGTCCTTTCATTGTATGGTTCTGGATACTCCACGGGAATATCAGTGGATCTTGGATATGATACTACAGATGTATGTCCAGTGTATGAAGGTGGGATCATCCGTTATGCTCACATGCAAACTAACTATGCAGGTGCACAAATTACTGACTTCTTCAAAGAGAGCTTGGCACAGAAGCACTATCATGATTTTGGGATACACACATCAGATATTTTAGAAGGCATGAAAAAGAATATGTATGTAACACAAAATGTATCCATGTCAGGGAAGGATTGTAGAAGAATTTATACGTTGCCTGACGGTGAAGAAGTAGACGTGGGCGAAGAAGCATTCATGGCTGCTGAAATGATATTTCAACCTGATGAAGTCAAGGGATTTAAGACGAATGTTTTGCCGCTACAAGAAGCGATTGTAACTGCATCATTGAAATGTGATACTGACCTAAGGCCAGAGCTGTACGATGCGGTAGTTCTCTGCGGAGGACTGTCAATGATCCCTGGCTTAAATACTAGAGTTGCAACAGAAATAGAAAATATAATTCAGAGACCCATTAATGTAATAATGTCACCAGAAGCATATGCTGTCGCTTGGTTAGGAGGAGCTACTTTTGCTGGTATGCCATCATCTAAACCGATGTGGGTTACTCAAAAACAATATAAAGACTACGGAGCTAAAATTGTGAGGAATAAATTTATATAATATAATTACTTTATAGTTATAATGAGATCTTAGGATTCCTACTATATATCAACTGACTGTAAGTTTAAAATCTTTCAGATGATTTATAAAAAACAACTTGTATTTAAAATATTCACCTTTTACAAAGTGTTAGTATTTTTCTTATCACACTGTTGGTTGTTTCTTAAAGTAATTTTGATCCTTTTGGTTTGGTGCACTTGACAATGCCTCATAGTCTTACGGTGCTGGCAAAGTTTTAAAGGATAACAGCCTAGCAAAGATTTAAATACCTATACATTACTAAAACATCGCCCTTCTATTCACACCTTAATGACGCTATATTTTATTTAGCCTATAATGTTGTCGTCAGTATATGGCCGTATAGACAGCAGACGGGTCTCGAACCCGCACCCTCCGCAATCTGGGCGGATGCACTAACTAATTATGCTAACGCGGCCCTGATGGCCGCGTAGAATTTTCTCTTGTATTTCTTAGGCTGCAAGGCAGCGCCATCTTTTCGCATTGTAGGTAACCCACAATGTCATATGAAATACCTTTACGAGTATTAAACATTTGAAAGAAGACGTAGCAATTTTAAATTTTAAAGCATGTAACTGCTAGATTTGTAAATCTAGAGAAACATTTTTCGGACCAGGCAGCAGACGGTACTCGAACCCACACCGCGGCCCTGATGCGCCGGGCCGTGGTAGCATAATTGGTTAGTGCATCTGCCCGGATTGCGGGGGGTGCGGGTTGGAGTCTGGATCGCTTGGATTCTTTTCTAGTAAATTTTTTCTTTAGATTTAAACATCTAGCAGTTAGATTATAAAAAATTCAGTTATATTATCAATAATACACATTACGTAATTAATCATGTTCGTAAACCCAATATAAATATGAAAACTTGTAACAGAGGTAGTTTTAAATCCAGGGATGATATGAAGTAAACTTCTTGATCCTATTTAACACGGGTTCCCGTGGGATGACGTAGCTATAATCCTCGTCGACGGAGGCGCCCGGTAAGAACAGTTCTTCATAAACTATTCAATAAACTTACGTCGTTTACTGTCCTCTTATACTTAACCACGCAAAAATAAAACAGATGAACTGAATAATAAATAGAATGAACATTAACTATAAATAAATGTAAATATATAATACATTAATAGGGAATAGGTTTAAGGCGGCAAGCGGGAATCCTATCGCGTCTTTTATTTTCAAATTTCGAATTAGAGTTTTATTTCATCAGTCCAAAATACAAAGTCATCTAGACCAAAATCATCACCCACTGGGCGCATGTGTTTCATTTTTAATATCGTTCTAAAAAAGTTAGCCGATGTATGGCAAAGCTCTTTGCGGCTATATCCCGAATCGATGATTGTAATGCACTACCACCCACACTACCTCATTGTGGCACTACGATGACTGATATTAAAATCGGCAGCGGAGTCTCCCGTGCTTACGTACTTGTACCAACTCTCGTACTCTTTGGGGCGTGTGCCGGAGACTAGGAGGGATGCCAATATGCAACCGGTGCCCAAAGAGGGGGACCGCTCAGACCCGGCTAACTCTCGGCCGATAGCTTTCACCTCAGTGTTGTGTAAAGTCTTAGGAAGGGTCCTTAACAACGATCTGACCTGCTACTTCGAAGATTACTGTCTGATTCACGATCGTCAATATGGATTTAGGCCGAATCGATCGACGGGTGACCTTCTAGTGACACACATATGGGGTGAAGCTATAGACAAGCGGGGAGAGTATCGCCAAGGCTCTTGATAGGGTCTGGCACAAAAGCCTTTTCTCCAAGTTTCCGGATGGCTCTGCTAAATACTTACTCGATGCCGTAGATAGGTTGCAGCGGCGCGCTGCCCGCATTATTGGCGATGAAGATGTAACTAAGAAACTCAAATCTCTAGAATTACGCCGCGATATGGCATCATTAAGTACACTCTACCGACTATACCACGGCGAGTCTCCTGAGGAGTTATTCTCCCTTATCCCTCCATCAACTTTTCTTAAGAGTACCATGCGCGCTGGCCTACTTTGTCACCGACTTACTGAGGCCACTATTCCTACACGAACAAAGAAATTTGTTGACTCATTTTTTTGTCGTAATATTCGCAAGTGGAATTCGTTGCCCGCGCATGTGTTCCCTCCTTCCTAGAATCTGGATCCTTTAAGAGGGGCGTGAAGAAGCATAAGGTGAGGATGGTTGGTGTTGCAGTTTATAACTGCTGTATCAGCTATCTTCGCATTTAGACTATATCACCACTGAACATCAGGTGTGCTAGAATTATTTGCCTACATTGCTATTAAAAATAAAAACGTAAATAAAAAAAAAAACACAAACGCGTTAAAACATAAAACATGCTAACTTTTTTGTGGTAATAATCAGTTATTGTCACAAAAATGATATAGCAATATTTTATATAATATTGATAAACAATCAAAATATTTCTAATTCTAAGAAATTACTTTCCATAAATTAGTCTAAAATTCTGTATAGTTCAAAGTACAGTCTGTGTTTGAACGATCGACCTTTCGTCAAATTTAAATAGTTTAGGCAAAACCTCACAGCCAACCCTTCCGTTCACGTGCACAAAAGGGTAAAAGATTTTTTGCAAAATATGATTTGGGAATCCTTTGTTGTGAATATTAAACTATTACGAGGGCATAGTTCAAGTAGGGATAGGGTAAGCGTTAAAATACGAAGGTAGTGGTTTCGTTGAGATGCTGAAGATATCACCATATTTTGTTTCAATAAATAGTTGAATAGTATTTGGGATTTATATTTTGGAAACTTTGAATAGATTTATGATAATATAACATTTAAGAAAGCACTTACAATTTATGTATTCATATTTTGAAGACAAAGTAGAGTAATTTTTTTCTGATTTTTTACTTCCTAGTAGTTGAAAGTGCAACTAGATTTATGTTAGTAAAGTTACCATTTTAACCAAAATATTAGGTACGACGGAGTTTTATATTTTTTGTACTAAACAGGTCGAAATTTTCCAATTTCTAGATAAGTAGCTCCATGTTTATAGCTCCACCTTTCCCCCAATCTCGTTAATACTATTTATTAATTGGTAAATTACAGGGTGTAAAATACGAATGGGTAGTTCATTAAATTTTGAAAGCGATACCCATCTGCATCGTGATCAGCCATCGTGCCTTGGCAACTATCGGGGCGTGAAATTAATTGTGAAATACTTCTCCACCACAAGCGAAGTATAGGTTTTTGTGTCTGAAACTTAAGATCTTTATAGGACATATTTTATTATGGCACGAGTACCTATTGACATAAAATTCTTGAAGCTGAAAGGTTTAATGATGGACTTTCGGAATACGGGCCTCGTAAAGATTTGCGTAAAAGTAATAGTCTTGAGTTAGAATCGGAGTAATAATGTTTTCTTTTTTTTACTGTAACCAAAATTTCTGCCTTTCAAATAAATAATGTAACAGTACATTGCTTTTCTAAATGTAGTCAACAATTTTAAAATTGGCAAACTAAAGAAACCCAACAATAACTAAATACGCATATGAAATCTTTCCATTCCTTTGTAGCGATTTCAGACTGGCGTTATTTTCTGCGCGTTTTGGTCGTCTAGGCATACGCGTTGTCATGAGCACTACATGACGCGCTTAAAAAAATCGGACTCGCGTACATGCGCATATTTAGGTGTGTTCACTCGAACAAGTAGTGGTGTCTCTCGCGGCTCGCGCTTATACGAGCTTACAAGCGCGTCAATGCTAGTACGAGTTGCTACATGCGCTTCCAAAAACGAGCTTAATTCATGTACAAAATACTAGTCTGAAACCATCCTTAAGGGCCCTAAAATTTCTATAGCGATCATGCCAAAAACAAAAAAGAAATATAGGCAGAACTTACTGAAAATCTTTCGTGTACAGTATTCTCGACGTAATCATTAGTTTTTAATAAATACTTGATTAAAATCTATCGCAACATGAGAAAAAATATATGGAAACATTTGAATAAATGAAAACAATCCCATACCGTACTGGGAGTGAAAGAAAACAGAACAATCGTCTGCTAAGTTTTCCACGCAGACAGTCGATTAAGGCTGTGTTTCCACATAAAAGAAACTATGCGGAGCCTAAGACTCCTCGTCTTAAAAAAATTACAATGACATTGCTCAAAATACACAATTTTTCTCTGTTCCGTTTTAGTGGAAAGTATTTATAAGTGGAGTATAGAAGAATAACATTAAAATGTATATAATAATATAGCGCGGGTAGTTAAGCTGGATACAGCGGAGCGTTGTAATGCTTATGAGCGGGGCAGAGCGGTGCTATCCTGAGCAGAGTTTAGCATAGTAGTGAGAGGTGGAGAGGAGATGTGCGGAGCGGAGCGGAGTGTTCTCTTTGTTTAGCTTTGTTAAAATTGTTTTACTACAATAAAAATGTATCCACAGCTCCGCTCAGCTTTGCCTATTTATGAAAATTATTATTATTTTCGGCTCCGTTTTGTTGAACTCCGCGCAGCTTCGCTCAGCTCCGGTTCTGTGGAAACGCACCCTAATGGATAGTCATAGGGTAGCTAGGTCACAATTATTGTAGTCGGTGGAATGTAATTCTACAACTTTTCCGGACTTCGATCTAACCGTCTAACGTGGTATTAATTTTCAATTTATATATATATTTTTTAGAAGCATTTAACTGTAAATCTAAAGAAAAATTTACTAGAAATAATTCCCCGCAGACCAGGCAACAGACAGGACTCGATCCCGCACCCTTCGCTATGCGGGCGAATGCACTGATAATTTTGTTACCGCGGCTCTGATGGCCGTGTCGAATTCTCTCTTTATACTGATTTTATACGGAGCATGGTGATGTTACTTATTGCGTTGTAGTGCCAGTGTTGTGCCATGAAGAGAGGGAAGCGAATAGTGTCGTTTTTGCCGTGAAGCGTAAACCTGGGTTTTCTTAGCATTGAATCCAATCAAGTTCCTGACACCCCATTCGGAAACGTGGTACAAATACTCCTTGTTTTCTACCTATCCAGCCGTTGCGTCTTCGAAATCTAAATATTTCTTATACTAACACCAATAAGCCTAGCCAAAAGCCTAGCACTGTAAGGCTTGTGTTGTGCTAATTAGAGTACTTAAAATTAAGTGATGAGTTTGGAAAATTATGCGAGATTTTACTCATTTTCTTAAATTGTTAACTTTGATGTACCGTCATCCCCACAAGAAGTAATGCGTGTATGCAAGTTAAAATCAAAATCCAAAACATTATCAAAAAAGTTATAGAACCTGTTATGTTTGGTACAAGCGCTAATAGACCATTATACAGTAATTGAGTTTCTCGTCGGATTAAGAGAATTAACCATTCCTTAGTACGTGGACGTGGCGAAACACTCACTAACGCCCAGCAAACCATAATCTATATAAACTGCTAAAAAGAAGCTCTAGTTAATTTGCCGGGCGACGCTTTCGGATAAAAATGGTGAGCATTAACATTACTATCTAGGGTAAAGCGAGATACATTTCAAATCTAAATAAAGATATATTTCAAAAGTAATTATTAGTTTTATTGCCACTTATGAAATATGAAATACGTACCTACATTAAGAAGAGAGAGCTAACCACAGGGGTCATAGTTTATGATTAATCCGGTTGCGTTGCGAAATATCATCATTATTGTTTATGTACTCTTTTATAAGGTATAGTATCATCGCATCAGCGTGATGCAATATGAATAATTCACAACGGTAACGACCCTGTCTGTTGGGGCCCACATCTCGAATCCTCGAGAAAAACTCAGAGCATCTCGTTTTTCTAAAGAAAATCTCAAGATCGTGAGATGTGTTCTATGAAAATATAATGTAGCCAGTTTCACGTAAAAATACTCTCTCAGATAAATAATGTGAAATTTGAATACTTCCTTGCACTTCAGGAGACGCTTAAGATTTTAATTTAAAATATAAATATTTATTACATTTACATATTAATATTTAAATTACAAGAGTCAAAAACTAATATTGTCTATAAACTTAAAAAGAATTAACTTAAATAATATACAACCTACAAAATATATCACCCCCAGCGCCGACGTTAGGAATAGCAGAAACACCAATAGGCTGGTAATTGCATGACAGACCCACCATACCCCTAGCCATACCCCCAAGGGTAGGGTGGGACTGAACCATACCACCGTAGTGCTGTGCACTATATGCTTTCAGGTTTAGTTTTACCGAATATTACGTAGGTACCTGGTGTCAATAGCATCCCATACGATATTGTATAAATATGTACTTATAATTCATTTTTACTTGATTGTTCTCAATAATAATCTTATCGTGTATTTATTTCAAGTATCCTTTTGGTACGTAGTAAATGCAGTTAGTGCACAACGAAATCACCATTGGGCATGCGTTAGACAAATTAAGAACATATATTAACATCTTTTAAGTTTTTCTGTTTAAGATAAATAACAAAATAAGTATTTGAAATATTTTTAGGTTTTGCCAGAACGGATATCGGTTTTTTTAATAAACTAAATATTTGTATCTGTTAGGTATCTATTTTTATTCTATTTTTCCATAAAATCCCAGCACTACAACGGTGGTATGGTTCAGTCCCACCCTACCCCCAGGGGTATGGCGGGTCTGTCATGGGTAATTGAATGCTGACAGCATTTCCACGTTGGATAGCAAGGCTCACTCGTTGACCAAGGTAGCTGCCAGCCTTTTGATCACCAGGCACCACGGTGAGTTTCTTAGGCAATTCCTTCAAAAGGAACGAGCGCTCTGACCCCATGATCCCATAGTCTCAACACCAAACGGTTCATATATGTAGTTCTCATTGAGAGCTGAATATTTGCGCCGCTAGGAGCACACAGCAGCGGCCTCTGCCGTGCCCGCAGCAAGAGAGGTACAACCTGTATGGCACGGAGCAAGCGCATCCGCGCAAGTTGTGTCCCATACAAGAGGACGACAGGTCATTCCGTCAAATCTCTTGCCATCGTCTCGGAAGATGCCGCTAGGCTCTAGGACCGCTGGCACATTGACTGTGATAAGAGCTCTACGGATGACGTCATTAATGCAGGCGTGGCGGGAGACTCGACCAGCGCTCATTTAGCATGAGAGACCATGGTGTCCCAACTCACTGACGCGAGTTCCGCAACGACAGCGGACTAAAA